AAAAGACCTGGAGGCCATTTATGGATCATCTGAAATCCAACGGCCACCTTTATGATGGGTTACCTGTTAGGTGTGAACAACATCCCCAGAAGACCGCTATTTTAAAAACAAAGGATGAATTCGAAAGTGAATGTCCGGATGGCGGCTGCCCAGCACCATGGTACCTTCCCCCGTGATGATTACTTGGCATTTGAAGGTATCCTTACTTTTAACGCTGACTTCATACTTTAGTGGTGTCAAGCTGGGGTGTGGGATCCACGAATGTCCGTCAAGATGCCATCAGCTGGTCGACCATTCCAAGATGAACTGTACCAGGATCGTTGAATGGACCTGTTCGCGTGGACATTGCAGTTCCCAGGCTTGCGCGCAGGTCAAAGGGGCGTGTCGGTTTTGTAATGAGGAAGATCGGGCGAAAGAACGCAAACGGCAACGGAACCTCAAGCTTGAAGCAGAGAGAGAGAGAAGGCAAAAGGAATACACCCGTCATCTTGCTGAAGCCCAGGATGAAATCGCGTATTTGAGGCGTCTGCAACGGGATCAGTCTGAAGAGGACGAGCGGATGAGAGTCCTTCGTGAGCATTGGGATGAAGTACATCATCTCAAGAACATCCCAAAGAGACAGGACCCAGCTATTCGGACAGCTCCTACCACCGTGGCAACAAAAGGCATCAGTGACACAAGTACCAACTCAGTCGCCGGTGAACGGGTCCCTCAAAACAGCTGTCGAGTTACAGGTCGCCAGAACAAGTCTGCGACGACGTCATCAGCTGCGAAGGATGATTGGGAGTACCAGAAAACGTTTCTCAATGCTCAAAGCCGGGAAATTGACACGTTGATGGAAATGATCGGACTTGAATCCATCAAGGAAAAATTCTTAACTTTCAAGGCCAAGGTCGATGTGTGTTTTAGGCAGGGGGTTGATCTCCAAACCGAAAGGTTCGGGTCTGTCTTGCCCGGAAACCCCGGCACAGGAAAGACGACAGTGGCACGACTTTATGCTCGCTTCCTGGCCTCTGTAGGAATTATCCCAGGCGATACATTCATTGAGACAACCGGTTCGAGGCTGGCAAACGATGGTGTCTCAGAGTGCCAGAAGACCCTCCAAAAGATTCTGAACACCGGTGGAGGCGCATTGTTTATTGACGAGGCATATCAACTTGCGCAGGGAAGCAGCTTCGGAGGAACACAGGTCCTAGATTTCCTCCTGGCAGAGGTTGAGAATCTCACAGGGAAGATTGTGTTCATACTTGCCGGATACCAGCAGCCGATGGAGAAATTTTTCTCCCATAATCCGGGGTTGCCAAGTCGCTTTCCTCATGAACTCAAGTTCAATGACTATGACGATGATGAATTATTAAAAATTTTTGATTGCAGTATCAAGAAGCACTATAAAAATCAAATGAAAGTTGAGGATGGCCCGAGCGGACTGTACAGTCGCATCGTCGCACGTCGTGTTGGACGAGGCCGTGGCCGCGAGGGGTTTGCCAATGCAAGGGCGATTGAAAATATCAGGGCCAGAATTGCAGAGCGACAGTCCGAAAGACTCAAATGGGAAAGGCTAAACCGGGTTGGTCAATCAGATGACTTTTTGTTGATGAAGGAGGATCTCATAGGGCCCGAGCCATCTCGGGCATTGGAGAGTTCGTCTGCGTGGCAAAAACTGAAAAGCATGATTGGTTTGGGGTCAGTGAAGACGACTGTCCAGTCACTGCTGGACAGTATCCAGTATAACTACCAACGTGAATTGCAAGAACTGCCCCCGGTCGAGTTTACACTGAACAGGGTCTTCCTGGGGTCACCTGGGACTGGTAAAACAACAGTTGCGAAACTTTACGGTCAAATATTGGTCGATATTGGGATGTTATCTAACGGCGAAGGTATGTGAATAAGTCATATGTGGCTGCATTTGCCATCTCTGACAAGCTCGCTAGTGGTGGTAAGGAATCCTTCCGATTTTGTTGGCAGCGTGATTGGCGAGTCTGAGAAGAACACTAAAGGCATACTTGCGTCTACTTTAGGTAAAGTTTTGGTCATTGATGAAGCCTATGGCCTCTTTGCAGGGGGCACTTCTGACGGCACTGGCGCGAAAAGTGACCAATACCGGAGTGCCGTGGTGGACACTATCGTGGCGGAGGTGCAGAGCATGGCCGGCGAAGATCGATGTGTTCTGCTTTTGGGTTACCGGGAACAGATGCAGCAGATGTTTCAGAACGTCAATCCAGGCCTCAGTCGACGGTTCCCGCTAGATCAGGCGTTGGAATTTCAGGACTTTACCAAGGAGGAATTGGACCAGATCCTTACCATGAAGTTGAAAGAGCAAGGGTTCAATGTCACTGAACGTGGTCGAAGGGTAGCCTTGGAGATGTTAGAACGAGCACGGAATCGGCCTAATTTCGGAAATGCAGGGGAGGTCGACATTCTGCTCAACTCCGCAAAAATGCGGCATCAGAGACGGATCTCTTGTATGCGGCATGTGGCAGGTCCGCTGCACTCTACCTTGGATGCCGAAGATTTTGACGAAGACTTCGACCGTAGGGAGAGAGATGACAAGAATGTGGCAAGGTTATTCGAGGGTGTGGTAGGATGTGACGAGATTATTGCGAAGCTAGAAGGTTACAGGGAAATTGTGAGGAAGATGACACAGTTGGAATGTGATCCTCGCAAGGAAGTGCCTTTTAACTTTCTTTTCCGTGGTCCTCCAGGTAAGGATCTCATCGGGTCAAGCAGTGTTCAAAAGAGGATTCTGATATTGGTCTCCAATAGGTACGGGGAAAACCAGTACGGCAAGAAAAATGGGGCAAATATACTACGATATGGGATTGCTGGCTTCGGCAGATGTCGTTGAGGTCTCAACTACAGATTTGGTTGGACAATACGTAGGGCAGACTGGTCCGAAGACGCAAAAAGCCCTTGAACGTGCGCTTGGTAAGGTTCTGTTCATTGACGAGGCATATCGGCTTGCCGATGGACAATTTGGGCAACAGGCCATGGACGAGATGGTGGACCGCATAACAAAGCCCCAATTTGCGCAAAGACTGATTATTATTCTCGCCGGTTACGATGCCGACATCAACCGCTTAATGGCGATTAATCCAGGACTTACTAGCCGCTTCCCAGAGTCATTACAGTTCAACTCCTTATCTGCTCCTGATTGCATCGCTCTCCTGACATCTTTGTTCCAGAAGCGCAAAAAGGATATGCAAGATAAGTCGAATGTGGAATTTGATCTTGGTGTTCTTGAGCACCCACGAGACGATTTCCGTAGAGATCTGATTCAACATTTCAATCTACTCTCCAGGACCGCCAGCTGGGCAAATGCACGTGACATCGATATCCTTGCCAAGGACATTTTCAGAAAGGTTCTCCAAGGTACCGATCGGAATTGCCTTGTTATTACTGAAATGGCTGTACTCCAATGTGTGGATCAAATGGTGACCGAACGCTTGAAGAGAGAACAATGTCAGCGCACGCACCATCTACCGTCGCAGGATAAAGCTGAGGCAACATCTCTCAGTTTGCCTGTTCGAGTCAATAGCCATAGCTCCTCGAATACGGAAATGGCAACGAGCAATAAACCGGATGCAAAACATCGTTCACTCTCCGGCCTCCCACCTACAGATACTGGTCCGCGAGATACTGAAGTCACGGATGAAGTGTGGAGCCAACTCCAGCAGGACAAGGCCGCTGCTGAAGCTCGAGAAAAGGAATATCTGGATTTGAGAGCGGCCGAAGAGAAGCAGGCAAAGGCTCTTCGGAAAGCGAAGGAAGACGAGGACATTGTGGTTCGGGAAGTGGAAGAAGCACGGCGAAGTGGCCATGAGGAGACTAGGGCCCGCCATGAACAAACCCGCCTGCAACGCGAGCTAGAAAGAAGGGCACGGGAAGAGGAACTGGAAAAAATCCGCAAACAGAGAGAGCAGGTGGAACGAAATCGCCGCCGAGAGCAGCAAGCGCAGGCAAAATTGCGGGAAATGGGAGTCTGTGTCATGGGCTACCGCTGGATAAAACAAACTGGCGGTTACCGCTGTGCTGGTGGCAGCCACTGGGTCTCAGATGCGCAGCTTAGATTATGAGGGAGGACGTTTCTCTGGCTTCTTGAGTGTGAGACTTTACGGGGTTAAAAGTCTGGCTGAAGGGAGAGGAGACTGAAGTAACTAAACTGGGAAGATTTGTCATCCAAGGGCTGTTAGTTGGCTTTAAGGATAGGTATGAGTTAAACTCTGAAGCAGGCCCGCACATGGGACATGATCAATCGGAGGAATCTGATAGCATTGTCAGCATATAAGTAACGAGGTACCTAATTGAGTACTTCAGTTACAAGGTGCGCCTATAGTTGTCGCTTTCCGTTTGATATTAGCTGTCTCTACACTAAGGCATCATGACGGATTTTGACGTAGAGAACAGCTTACAGCTAATACAGCTTCGAGAATAGGTACGATTCGCAAGTGGTCACCTTGACTCAGTCTCCCCTCGGAAACCAACATGGTTCCGTCACATCTCATGAAGCTGATTAGCGATGACCCTCATACATGACTGTATGTGACAGCATTGTTTTCTGCGAGAGTATCGTGGGCCACATCTGAAAGTCGTAGTTAGCAAGGTGGTTGCCTAACGTGCAAAGTGGCTGCAGTTGCTGTGTCCTTCGTTGCATATAATTGGAGCGACCATGGGTGTCAATGATAAGACAGTACTCTATGCCCTGTCAATTGGAGTCAGTCTACGTCGCCTAGCATGTACTGTAAAAGTCAAGGATCATGGTATCTACTCAGTCTCAGTGTCTCGAAGTCTCTCATCGGACAAACGTGATCTTTGCAGACATCCTTCTACGACTGCGGCGAAGGCCTTGAGGAAACAACGTCTGGAACAACCTGACATTGTGGATTGGGCTTCCGTTCAAAAACAGAATAGCGGTCTTTCAAGACTGACAGGTTCTCTGCCGTGAGCTGCAAATAGAGGTCTAAGCTTGTTGATACAGTACAGTGAATGTCTTCTATCTTGGATCACTCTTTTGATCGTACCTGAGCCCCTTCAATCCGAATTTTGGCGTCCTTTACCCACAACCAATACCCCCCGTTGTTCAGTCGCGGATAATGAATGCCGTCGTCCGTTGTCCCTTTTACCTTGACCATTCCAGCCTTACCAGATATTCCTAGAAGGACTCGCTTCCACTCGTACGTCCCGACCAATCCTTCTTCCTCACCTTGTTGGAGAGGAGGAAAGTCGAAACTAAAAGCTATAGGGATGTATTTGGTATTGATAGGTAGAAATGGTGTGGACTTGAAAAGTATTGGTTTAAGATCGAGTTCCATGAATGGTTCCTTCCCATCATATGGCAATACTGCTATGCGACTGTATGGAAGGTGCCCTGCCACCGATGGAGTAAATTCGAACTTCGCGCACTATTCGGGAAGTGTTGTGTTTAATGCAAGTATAACCAAGCACTGACATGATCCACTCACTATTTTTGGAACGTTCCAATTCTTGCGTCCTAAACTAAATTAGCTCTATGTCTCGTCTAACCTGGTTCTATGCTCTGCTGCACACAAGGAGAAAGGTGATGTTGTGGACACTAACCATTATATAGAGAGGCTCCCGTGGAAACATAAGCTCGGGTAGCTCGATATGTCTGCTTCCCTGACCAAGGGTTCTGAAAAGCTCCAGGAATCCATAGAAGCTCATCATATTCGCCTTTATATTCCCGAGAGTCAGTAGTGTGACTCATTACCTGTGACTAAGATTACCAACCGATTGGGCTTTCCAGGTAGTGGACAATAACACAGACTTGTAAGCCCCCAATAAATGTCTGGTTCGCGAACTGGGACTTTTCCTCAAGGTCATGGTACGATGCTGGAGGTGGTCCTCCAGCGGATGAAGGTAGACAAGATGTAATCTGTAAGCGCTTAGTTGCTGATGCGCGTTGGGGTTAGGCCTCCTTTGAATGGTCAAGCGGCGCCAGATTATCGAGATGAGACAAGTTGCATGACTGCTCAATGTCTTATACTCGTCTTGCAAGTCATTTCGAAGCATGCTGAGTGCTATCTGGTACTTCGCGTTCCCGGCTACCTCACAATCTCGCTGTTTGTAATGCTTGCCCACAAATAGAAGAGATGCCGCCTCGAACGCAACCAGAAGAGTTGGTGATATAAGCCGCATTGGTCGTGCCTGGCGCAATACCTCACCACCGCTGTGACTCTCGTCTCCAAAATCCGCAATAAAAAACCAACACATGTCTCGACAACATCAACCAGTGTTCCAGGTCGCCCTAGCGGGAACAGACGCAAGCCATAGCCTGGGTGTAGTGAGCTGTACCATACATATAGATTGAACAAGAGGCTATATATACTCTCCCCAACTGTCTGGCATTGAATTCCTGGGGTATACAGTGCACCCATTGGAAGTTCTGATGTTCGCGTTGCTTGCTCGGGCCGAGGTACCGTTGTTACTAGAAATTTTTATTCGCCATTATCAACGTATGGTTTTGCGCATATGACTTACTCTGTGTAGTGAAGTCGTGATTTTCAGTGGAGACGTGCTTTGTCGTCCGCTGGACTCTCTCAAGCCCAGCCCTAAGGCTTTCTTGCGATTTTTGCAAATCCTTCATACGCTCCCAGTTGTACATGTGTCTCTTGTCCTTTTCGCTATAATTGTATGAACAAGTAGAAACTTCTCCCCTTAAGCGACGATGACTGCATGGCCGTTTTCGATCACACTGTGTAAATAATGTCAACGATAGGATAGGGCAATGCAAATGAGCTATACGTGAAGCTATATATATGGCCGACTTCATGTACGGAAATAAAGAAAAAGATATCGTATCGTACCTTAACTTTGCGTTTGCAGCACTTAAAGCACGAGTATGTCGGACGGGTCTTCTTCCTACCCGCCCCAGTAACACCGGCGAGCTTGGATCCATTGTTTTTGGACCCATAGGCTATAGAAGAGCAGCTCATGGGATCTGGCGCGATTTGTAATGCGGTGTAGTACCACTCGAGTTAGCAACAATATCAGCCCAGGAGCTCTTGAGAAAGACAGCAGTGGTGCGCCACGGCCAGTACGTATGGTGGGGACAAAAGAGAATCACTACTTTAAGACTATCTGGAAGACAGGCAAGTACACTCTACGTGCCGCCCTGGGTAACGCTAAGCGGAGATTGCTGTGCCACTAGGGTACTGTAACGAGTAATAGGAACACAACAACACTAGCCAATTTTACCAACCACAGAAATTGTGGACATCGAATAGCGAGGATTGGACTGGAAGTTCTGGTTTGATATCAAATCGAACTGTTGTTAATCGTAATTGTGGTTGCGTTGTGTGTACCGAGCGGAAACTAATCGCGGCCCGATGGCGGTTCCGCCTGCGGGTGATCCTGAGGACACCCCGAGAACACCGGAAAACTCTGCAAGGGGCAGTGGTGAAGCTGGCCCCCTACCAGTGAGAAAGGGACGAGCAACGCGGTCGCAAGCTAAGAATGTGGCCATCCCAGCAGTCGAATTCCCGTCCCTTGAGGATGGAAAAGCAAGAATCACAACCCAAGTGGTGGGAAGCCTGATCAACAATTTGAAGGATATCATCCAGTACCAAAGCAAGATCATCGAATCGACCCAGCAAGAGCTAAAGGAAATTCGGAATGAACAGCAAACGCTCCAAAACCAGAATCTACAGCTGATTAAGGAAGTCCACGATCTGCGTGCACAATTTGACACCTGGGCAGCCTCCCCGCAGCCCAAAACATGGGCCGCGGTCGCAGCCGAAGCGGCAGGCGGAGAGGCTGAACAGAGAGTGCCCCGACCCCGAAAGGAACCGAACTGTATTCGGATCAGCACAGCACGCCCGACAGAAGACGCAGACAATGGGGACCACGAAGCATTCACGAGGTACTTGCCTACCGATGTTGCCAACACGGCGTATCCGCGCGGCTCTGTCGCATGCGGAAGCCACCAAGGACACCGAAGTTGCGGGAATTGGGACCACTAAAACAGGCTACGTGATTCGGTTTCGAGACGAACAGTCAGCGACAACGGCCCGAAACAATCCTGAATGGCTGGAAGAGCTAGGCAATGAGACGAAACTCGTGAAACCCCGTTTCGGAGTCGTAGTGCACCGCGTCCCGACCGAGGATTTCGATCTCGACAGTAATAAAGGGGATAGCATCGAAAGGATCATGCAGGAAAATAACCTTGCGGGGAAAGAATACAAGATCGAAGATATCGCGTGGCTGAAGAGGAAAGAAATCCCCTTAGGGCGCTCCGCAACGATGGGCATCTGGCTAAATACCCCGGAAGCCGCTGAGATTATTCTCAACAATGGACTGCTGGTGGGACAGAGATACATCGGGAGCGTGGAACCATATCGGGTGGAACGAAAGAGGTGCCGTCGCTGTCAACAATTTGGCCATCTCGCCTGGTCATGTACGGAGCGGGTCCGCTGCGGACACTGCGCCGGACCCCATGATCAACGTCACTGCTTCCCCGGGGTAAGACCCCGGTGCTCAGACTGCAACGAGGAACATCCCACTGGAGATCGGAGGTGCCAGAAGCCCCTCAACCCCCGGTCCTCCCAGTGACCTCGCACAATCTCCGTATCCTACAGTTGAACATCATGAAATCTAGGGCAGGAATGGAAGCCCTCATAAACGACCACCAAACGACAAACCTCGACCTCCTCTTAATCCAGGAACCCCCAATCTCCGCGTACCGTACCCACGTCAACCACAGCGCATGGCGGCTCTATCGCCCTACTTACACTGAGGAAGCTACGCGGTTCCGCAGTCTGCTTTACGTCAATAAACGGATGTCAACATCATCACATCGACAGATTCACTGCAATCACCCTGATCTGGTCGCGGTCAAAATCTGGACGGCAAACATCCAATATCTCGTCTTCTCGATCTACATCCCGCCTATCACGCTCCTCCAACCAACCCACGAATCCAGCGCCCGGCAACTACTAGACACAATCCAGACGACTATTGAGGAACATTCGAATAGCACACACAGAACGACGAAACTGATTCTGGCTGGGGACCTTAATCGCCACCATCCAGCATGGAACCACCAGCCGATCGCTCCCCGCCTTATCGAACATGCTGATGAGCTCATTAACTTCTTCCAGACACATCGACTCCAGTGGTGCTTACCGCGGGGCACACCGACATACTGGGCTCTACACAACCCAGGACAATCATCCACGATAGATCTCACCGTGACTGACGACTCCGCGAGACTGATCCGATGCCAACTATATCACGACAACTACGGGTCCGACCACCGTGGAACCGTCTCGGAATGGGACCTACAACCTAGGCGAAACAAGCCATCAATACCAAAGAGGGCATACGACCGGGCAAATTGGGAGAAGATTGGTCAAGATATTCAGTCCCAGACGACTACCCTATCTACCACCCTGTCTACCACACACACCACAACAGATCTGGACCAGGCGGTAGAGAAGCTGATTAGCTCAACCGTCGCCGCCCTTGACCGACACATCCCGAGGCACCGGCCATCGCCATACGCCAAACGGTGGTTTAGCCCTGCACTCAAGGTCCAACAGGTTGGAGTCAACCAAGCCCGCCGAAGATGGCAGAGTAGCTGTGCAGACCTAGGACCACAACATCCCAGTTCCAAGGCCCTCTTCACAGATATGCAAGGGAAACGCCGACAGTGGACGCGGACCATTGAAAAAGCCAAAGCCGCACACTGGAAGGAATACCTCGATAAAGCCGGAGAAGGGCACCTGTGGAAAGCGGCGACCTATATGCGCCCGCGGGATGACTACGCCACCATTCCTGCATTGACCATCGGGTCCGAAGAAGTAGTAGATAATGAGGCAAAAGCCAAAGCATTTCTCGATTCATTCTTCCCCAAAATGGCCGACGCAGACGCAGAATTAGAGCGCCCATTGTCACCAGTGGAGGAGATACGATGGGAGCCAATCACCGAGCTGGAGGTTTACAGATCAATTAAAGCCGCCAAAGGAACCACCGCCCCTGGGGAAGATGGGATCCCGACCTTGGTTTGGAAGAATTTATGGACCTACCTTCGGACGACAGTCACCCATATTTTTACCAAGTCAGTCGAACTAGGTTACTACCCTGACCGATGGAAAAGAGCAAGAATAGTGGTCTTGCGAAAACCTGGAAAGGCCGACTATACAGTTCCTGGAGCATACCGACCGATTTCACTGCTGAACACTCTCGGGAAAATATTAGAGGCAGTAATGGCCAAGCGGCTATTATATTGGGCCGAGTCACATAGGCTGCTGCCGGGGACACAGTTCGGAGGACGCCCTGGCCGAAACACGGAGCAAGCGCTACTGGTCCTCGCGAATGCGGTTGATCGAGCATGGCTACAGGTGCGAACAAGGGTAGTAACACTTATCGCCTTTGATCTCAAGGGGGCCTTCAACGGAGTCAATAAGCGAAGCCTGGAAGCGCGCCTGCGGGCCAAAGGCATACCTATTCTAGCCAGACAATGGATCCATAACTTCATGGAGAACCGACATGCGAGCATTTCTTTCGACGACTTTGAAACACAACCATCACTGTTGGAGAATGCGGGCCTAGCCCAAGGCTCGCCACTGTCACCGATCCTCTTCACCCTCTTCAACTCAGATCTAGTAGACCAACCAGTGGATGCCAAAGGAGGAGCATCCGCCTTTATTGACGACTACTTCCGTTGGCGAGTGGGCCCGTCGGTGGAGGAAAACCTCAGGAAGCTGCAGGAAGACGACATCCCACGCATCGAAGCATGGGCCCGACGGACTGGCTCAAGCTTTGCGGCAGAGAAGACTGAGCTAATTCACCTGACGAGAAACAAGAAGGAACAAAATCAGGGAGAAATTACTATGAACGGCAAGGTCATCAAACCCACCGCAGCGGTAAAGCTCCTTGGAGTGATCTTCGACAGAGAACTGCGATGGAAGGAGCATGTCCAGCAAGTGCTCAAACGAGCAACCAAAGTCAATATTGCACTAGGGGGACTCCGACACCTACGACCGGAACGGATGAGACAACTCTACCAAGCCTGCGTAGTACCGGTGGTAGATTATGCATCTACCGTGTGGCATAATCCTCTAAAGGATAAGACCCACCTGCGGCAGCTGGCAACCATCCAGCGAGCTGCCCTGATACGGAATCTGTCTGCCTTTAGAACTGTATCTACACAGGCACTCGAAGTGGAATCCTACACACTATCAACTCCATTACGACTGAAACAACGCGCCCAGCTCGTCGCAGCCAGCCTAAGCACAGTGCCGGAACATCACCCAATCCATGAAGTAATGGATCGAGCAAGGGCCCGCAGCACACACCTCGGACATCACTGCTACTTCCCGCTGGCTAAGACACTACGAACGATGGACCTCCGCCGCCTGCGCGCCCTGGAGACAATCGATCCCACCCCACTAGCGCCCTGGCGAGCGCAAGCGTTTGCTGAGATTGAGATCGAACCAAACCGGGAACAGGCAAAGGAGAATGCCGCGACCAGACGGGATATGCCCGGAACTACAGTGTTTTCTGATGCATCCGGCCAGCAGAACCACCTAGGGGCCGCAGCGGTAGCCCTTAACGAAGACCTGCAAGCCTCGGAATCGCGACAAGTCAGCATTGGTTCAATGGAACACTGGTCAGTATACGCAGCCGAGCTCATGGCAATCTTCTACGCCATCAGCCTGGTCCTTCAAGTAACTCAGAAGAGGCAAAGCCAGTTAGACAGAGTGGAACATCCCGCAACCATTCTAAGCGACAGCATGTCAGCGCTGCAAGCAATTCGTAACCCGTCCAACAGGTCCGGGCAGCGAATCATCCGAGCCATACTGCAGGCAGCCTCCGAAATGAGAGCGCGAGGAATCCCAATTCGCCTCCAATGGGTCCCAGGGCATTGCAACGATCCCGGAAACGACGAGGCCGACCGGCTGGCAAAGGAAGCGGTAGGCCCGAGCAAAATGCACCCCTTCCAGCCCCTTCTCTCACGGGAAAGGGGCTTCATCCGGAAGAGAATCCTAAACGAGTGGAAGGATGAGTGGGTCAAGTCTCCAAAGGGAGGGCACCTTCGCCAGATCGACAAAACCCTACCGGCAATCCGTACCCGGAGGCTGTACGGATCGCTCCCACGGAACCGAGCATATCTACTCACACAACTTCGGACGGGTCACTCTTGGCTGGCAACGTACCAGAAACAACATGGGTTCCAGGACGATGACAGATGTGTCTGTGGAGCTCGAGAGACAGTAGTCCATGTACTGGTGGACTGCCCAAGACTCAGAGATCTGCGACGACAACTACAGAGGAAGATTGGACCCGCGTTTAGCAATATTTCAAGCATGTTGGGAGGACAACAAGGTAAGGAAGGTAAGGTACAAGACGCCGAACAAGACAGCAGCACCCTCGGGGCTGTACTGGACTTTGCAGAAGCGTCTCAAAGGTTTCGAAGCCGCGCGCCACGGGGGCCGCAGAACAGAACACTAGGCGACTAGGCCAACATAGGCCTCGACGAGGCTCCAAATTCGTCCGGAAAGTAATAGGTCAACGCACATAAGGAATGTATATAGAGAGAAGTAGTTAGGGAGATCCTGCATATCGCTTCAATTTGCGAGGGGTCAGAGTATGACATCATCATCATCATCATCTTCTTCTGTACAATGTATATTCAGTGATAATAGACGCCATTTTGTAGTACAGTATAACCTGGTCCTGAACAATGACGCAGATGACGTCGCGAGTTCCTGGGTAACTCCCTCCGGTTCGCTTCGGACAAGCAGTCCGCGAGTCGGCGTATATCTGCTTTGAACCGATTACTTGTTGCATACTGCACTGTGAGGTAGCCCGTCGAGACCTAGGCAAATCCAAAATCCGGGATTCCGGAGCCCGATGGTTCGGAAATGGGCAAATCATTCTATCCGACAAGACTACTGTACCGTTCTAGCTCCCGTGGTGAGCGTTACCATAATGACCAGATAGGGCTGCGTTGTGTTTGACTGACACAGAATTGCCCGCTGGTGCTCGGAGGTCATTTGTGACACAAAATGCCCGATCAGTTCGACAGGTTCACCCCGCGCATCAAAACCCGAATCTCCCAATCGTGCTTTGCCTCTGGCGCAGCATGACTCGGCTCCACGCTAAAGAGGGATTGACCAGGCTGGATGCGAATATGCGTCTTTCAGAATGTGATGATCCCCTTTTGAGGTGCTGATCGCGGCTGATGGAGTGGGGGAGCTGGATGACCTGCAGACCAGGCCTGGGAACGGGATGCGCAATCTGTGCGGGCATTAATCTGTTCAGATGCCCAGGCCCGCACGTCTTTTCACCGCCCTTTGGTCCGGCCCTCTGGTCGATCGTTGTTGCCTTGGGCCAGCAACATTTGCTGGGGCTCGGGAAGGACCGAACTTGTCCTTTTCGGGAAGTTGTTTCAGGGGTTCAACTTGATGCCCGCCTGGAAAATCCGACTGCGCACCGAAGGAATATTTATGTCCTCGGGTTTCGACCACTGGACTTAGAGCGTAAAGCAAAGAAACCAACACATGGGTATACTGGAATGTGTATATACTATTACCCTAGGCTACCACAAATGTGAGCCTTGTCGCTCGCGATGTTACAATAATCATGTGCATCAATGGTCTATACATTTCGTACATGAATGGTCAATGTTATATATAACATAACCACCACTAGCTACTCCCGCGTGTCCGGCACAACCGGCTTTTGGTAACCCCACGAGACACATACAAAATCAACAGGCGCGCCAAGATTGAATATATTGCCTACCCTAAGGGATCACTCATCAAAACCAGGTCAGCAGGTTGATAATTTGCTCAGCCTCCGATGCCTCTAATTTCAAATGATTCAACGTCGAGCATGGCCCTGCTGGGCATTAATTTTTCCGGGCGGATGTGACCAATGAGAATTCGTCCCGCCAGCAGCATTCCACCCCAACAACAAAACCTAATTCCAATTCAACCCTACCAAAAATGAGGTTGTCGGGATGTCGACCAGATTGACCAGAGTGCAACAAGTGTGGACATACTGATCACATCTCACGCATCAGAACCTGATCTCCTTTCAAGTTGATAGACGGTGTAGGTTGCGCATTTGCCAAATGAGCAAATCAACATATATGGAGAGCATGAAATTCTTCCTCGATTGTTCCTTGCTCCATTCCACCGAGGACAGCAGCTGGTAAAAGTATACAGAATTCTACTCTCAGATTCAGTCGTGCTTCTTGTCATAGTTATGACTATATGGGCATTGTCTACCGCCATGGTGAGCACACGCATGGCCCAACCCTTGAAAACAGACCGGGTGGTTGGGATTGACAGACCATATGTAGATATGGGAACTTGTAATTCACCAAAGGAATTCGGAGTCGTGGAACGGTCAGCTGGTATGGAAATGCAACGACAACTTCTTTCTAGATGTAGTGGGCTGACCAAGGCCAGAAAGTCCGTTCTAGCACATCAAACCCTCCGTGTTGCGAACCCACCGAGCTTGTTATGAGGCGTAAGTTGGTGTTCTCTTGACGCAACCTTCACTAACTTATTATTTGACGAATCGAACAAACGACGGGGCAGACGTCTTCGCAGACCACACCATGTGCACCATCCTCA